GAGTTGAATTGGCGACTGTTCAGGCACCTTTTTGGCCTGATAGCTCACCTCTGTTCCCTAGTCCCAGCTCATTGCTCCCTCCATCCCTCACAAATGGTCACCTTGATCATGAGCATGACTAGGGATGTGTATGTGGAAGGGCAGCTGAACCCTCCCCCACAAAGGCTTGTCAGATATGAACCCCCCCCCCAAGGACCTTCAGTGCTCCTCCTTGTTGCCTTAGCACCTTGGAGAGTAAATGTCTGCTTACTTGTGTCTCCCATCGACTAACCATTTCTTGAGGACTTGGTCTGTATCTTTTGTATTTGAACTTTCAAACCTGGCTCTCAGAATGTACTTATTAAATGTTGATTGGCAACTGAGGCACTTGCTTGCAAATGTCTTGGGTCATGACTTCCTTTTTTGCTTTGCTGTGAGCAGGTGGCGCTTTGCTGAGTTTCAGTACCTGCAGCCAGGACCCCCAAGGAGGCTCCAGACTGTGGTGGTGTACCTGCCGGACGTCTGGACCATCATGCCTACTTTGGAAGAGTGGGAGGCTCTGTGCCAGCAGAAAGCTGCGGAGGCAGCTCCCCTGGCCCAGGAGATGCCAGTGGTAAGGCATAACCTTACTTACTAACAGGTGGGGAGAGTAGGTACCCTGACCAGAGCCCAGGTGGTCACAGCTCTTGGCTTTTATCACAGGAAACAGAGCCTACAGAACAGGCAGCTGATGCATCGGAGCAAGCAGCGGACACCTCCAAACAGAATGCAGAGAACACGGAGGTCACCACACAGCAGGAAGTGGACACTGATCTCCCAGAGGCCCCTCCACCCCCTCTAGAACCTGCTGTCATGGCACGCCCTGGCTGTGTAAACCTCTCCCTCCATGGGATTGTAGAGGACCGGAGGCCAAAAGAAAGGATCTCTTTTGAGGTAGGTGTAGGAGTCTGGGGAGGCTGTGGGATAGGGTGTGTGTGTGTGTGGCAGGTCTTGGAATACTCCCTTTTCCCTGACGCCCATGGGCTCTTCCCGCCTCTTTCACCAGGTGATGGTGTTGGCTGAGCTGTTTCTGGAGATGCTACAGAGAGATTTTGGCTATAGGATTTACAAGATGCTGCTGAGCCTTCCTGAAAAGGTGGTGGCCCCACCTGAACCTGAGAAGGAGGAGGTGGCCAAGGAGGAAGAAGTGGCCAAGGAGGAGGTGGCCAAGGAGTCCAAGGAGGAGGTACAGAGCGAGGGCACAACCGCCGAGTCAGACGCCCCGCCGGTGAGGACCTTGGCCCCCTGTATGGGCTCTGGGGTTGCACACAGTAACGCTGAACAGACAGAACTCGAGTGCTGCATGGTACCAGGAGCTGCTCTGGGCACGTTATGTTCTCTTAGAACTCCTCTCATTCACTACATGTGCTCAAGAGCCTGTGTGTCCTGTGTGTCGCATGGGGCTACACAGCTAGTGAGTGCTGTGCTAGGGAGGGAAACGGACGGAGGAGGGAAGGGGAGCGTGGCTGGTGGGCAGCACAGATTTCCGCGAGTGAGTGTGCTCTGAGGAGCACGGTGTGGTCAGCCAGCACACTGCGTTTTCTTAACCCTTCGTAGGCACATGGGGCTTCCTGCCTAACTAGTCTCAGGTCAGCATATTCTTTATGAACTGAGCTGGACACCTGAGGAGGGTCCAGGTGTCTGGAAACTGCCCTGGTCGGCTCTAAACCCCATGTAATGAAATACATTACAGAAGATGGTACATACAGAATCCTTAACAGTGCCTGGATGTGGTTGATACTCAGTGTTAGCTGTAGTTAGTGTTAGTAACTATAGGGGACAGTCCTCCTCATTTCAGTCTGCTTCCCTTAGAAGGAAGATGGGCTTTTGCCCAAACCCCCATCTTCTGGGGGAGAGGAAGAAGAGAAACCCCGGGGTGAGGCATCCGAGGACCTCTGTGAGATGGCCCTCGATCCAGAGCTGCTGCTGCTGCGGGATGATGGGGAGGAGGAGTTTGGTAAGTGCAGAAGGACGGAAGCAGGTGGGCACCGGCCAGTGGCTTCGGGACTCTGGCTCTAGCGCTCTCCTGTTGGAATGAGTCAGCCTGGCCGTGCGGTCCCTGCTCCGAGCTCATTTCAGGCTTTCTGTAGCAGGAGCCAAGCTGGAGGATTCTGAGGTCCGGTCTGTTGCCTCAAACCAGTCAGAGATGGAGTTCTCTTCCCTTCAGGACATGGTGAGACCTCTGTTCTGCCCCTCCGGCCTCAGTGACAGTGACACTCAGCAAGGCCTGAGTCAGTTCTTGGAGAGGGATATTTCCACCAAATGACTTCCAGTGTCTGTTGACTGACAAGACAAACTGGCTCTTGGCTTACAGAGCAGCACTTCTGCAGGATCTAGGAGACATTTCAGTATCTCTATCAGGGTAAATCTGAGCGAGATATCTAGTCTAGGAGCACATAAGGTTCCTCTGTGTGTGACAGCTGTGGGGCCAGAAATGCCCCAATAGGCCTTTGGTTATAGGCCCAGGGTCAGGTCTCCAACTGGAAGGTGGGCCTGGGTGTGACTGTCAACCAGACCAGTCAGGGCTATGTCCTGGGGGATTTAGCTGTTGAGAGAACTATTTGTAATCCTGCTCATCCCTGTTTTCTCTTTCAGCCCAAGGAGCTGGACCCCTCTGCTGTGCTCCCTTTGGACTGTCTTCTTGCGTTTGTTTTCTTTGATGCCAACTGGTGTGGCTACTTGCACCGTCGAGACTTGGAGAGGATCCTGCTTACCCTTGGCCTCCGGCTCAGTGCAGAGCAGGTGCCTTCTCTCACATCCCCCTTGGTCCTTTTTGAGGTGGCCTCACCTCATATAACGTGCACAGGCATGCATCTGACTTCCGTGGGGGACTTGGGATGCTCTAGTTCTAGGTTCTTCCACATCCTGGGGCAACGGCTTGCACCTTCTCATCAGAGGGGATCTTGGGTGTGTTTTCTGTAGGCGAAACAGCTGGTGAGCAGGGTGGTGACCCAGAACATTTGCCAGTACCGCAGCCTTCAGTACAGCCGCCCCGAGGGCATGGACAGTGGGCTTCCTGAAGAGGTGCTCTTTGGTGCGTACCAATGCTCTGCAGCCTTCTGTGGAGGATGGGCAGGACAGGGCAGGCTGCTTTCTTCTCCTCAGAACCGACCCTTAACTCTTTTCATGTCTCTGCTAGGAAACTTGGACCTGCTACCTCCTTCTGGGAAAAGCGCAAAGCAAGGAGCTGCCCCTCTGGAACACAAAGGCCTGGTTTCCCACAACGGCAGCCTGATCAACGTGGGGAACCTGTTGCAACGTGCAGAGCAGCAGGACAGTGGACGGCTCTACCTGGAGAACAAGATTCACACACTGGAACTGAAGCTGGGTGAGTGGCCTGGTCCACAGGAACCTGTGGTGAGGGGCCTTGCAGACGTGCACATGGAGACCAAGGGGGCATCCTGCTCCTTAGGCTTTAGGCCTCTTGCCCTGTGCTCTGATCCTTAACTTAGCCCTAGTCTTTCTGGCATGTTCCCCACCAGAGGAGAGCCATCACCGTTTCTCAGCCACTGAAGTAACAAACAAGACACTGGCAGCTGATATGCAGGAGCTGCGCACCCGGCTGGCCGAGGCCGAGGACACGGCCCGCACAGCTGAGCGGCAGAAGAACCAGCTTCAGCGGCTGCTGCATGACTTCCGGAGGCGCCTGACCCCCCTGCAGCTGGAGATGCAGCGCATGGTTGAAAAGGTGAGCATGTAGGAGAGCTGGCATTGGTCGAGAGGCTTGGTCAGGATGACGCCAGGATGGAAGCCCCTTGTGCCTGTGCCCAGGTCCACCTCGCCTTCTCCCCCATCCATGGTTTCTTAGGGAATCCATCAGTCAGCAGTTTGCAAACTTGAGTCCCCCTGGAGGAAATGGGTAGTAGTCCTTTCTCCTTGGGTCCTAATTCTTGTGCCATCTGTTACAAACAGGCTGACAGCTGGGTAGAGAAGGAGGAGCCAGCACCTAGCAACTGAGGGGCTTGGCGCAGGAGCTGCCGTCCTCTGAGGTCAGCGATGGAGCCTGCTGAAGTTAGAGCCCTTTGGTTCCAGAAAGAAGCTGGAGCAGGACCTGGGAGCCATAGATGGGGCGGCTGACCCGTGCTCAGCCTGTGTAGGGGAGCTCAGGCCGTTAGGGTGGGGTCTGCCTGTGCTATGTGGGACGGACGAGTGAGGAACCAGTTCCACTTACAACTAAGTCCAACATCTTCTGCACCCCTCGAATGTCATTTTGCCCTCTACCTTGGGTTTCTCCTGGGACCCTTTAGTCTTGTGCTTTCTCCTGTCCTCTTCCAGTTTAGAGTAAGACGGGAGGAAAAGGCTTTTTGACTGTCATAAGGTCTGATGCCAATAAATGAAGAAACAGACACGGAATCTGGCTGGGGTAAGAGCCCCTTCCTCTGGATGGCACAAATCCTGCTAGGTTACAGGAGCAGGTTCTTGGGGAAAGGGTTTCCTGTGGCCTTTGGAGGAATGGAGTCGGTGCCAGCGAGCTCTCGCTGTTGGGCTGTTTGCCAGTGAACACTGTTCCAGCCGCCCGACTTGCCAGAAGAAACCAGCACTTCTGTTCCCTGGCTCCCTGTGTTCAGAATGTGGTATTGGCTCTGGCCCAGCCTTTTTCCCTGTTCCCCATAAGTCTCACCTCTTTCCATAATCCGTGGTTTCAGTTTGATTTTGTATATAAAGTTGGTTTTTTTTTTTTTTTTTGCTTTTGTTTTTTAAATAAACCAAAGTCAAAAACAAACCAAGTGTTCTCCATAGCTTTTCCCTTCTTCCTCTTCCAGGTCTGCCTGTGCTCCCACCCTTCCTCCTTGCCCTCAGCCCAGCCTCTGCTGGATGGAGGTGTAGTCACCTCCAGAAGCCCTTTTGCCCTCAGGACGGGCTGCTAGCTGGTCAGGAGAGGATGCTGTCGGGGTCCTGCCAGCTCAGCAGGGGGCAGCATTACTGTTAAAAAAACCTGGGGTGGCTCCTCCTTTCCTTAGTTACAGCACAATACAAGGAAATTTTTTGGAAAACTTTACTTGAAAAAAATAAAATTCCAAATATTCAGGTGAGAGAAACCCACTGTTGCTTTGAGGCCTGTGAATTGGACATTTACATGAGTTGAATCCATTTTTTAGGGAACCTACAAGATGGGAGGGGTCTTCCCTGCACTTGACTGAAAGGACAGGAGTGGGCTAAGCCAGCCCTTGTGCTGGGAGCCTGGAGTGAGGGGCCTGTTGGCTGGCAGGCCACAGCACTCACATTCTCCAGAGCAGTGCTGTGGCCTTCTCCCAGAAAAGGAGAGATGTGGGAGGGCAGCAGGATGGGTGGACTCCCCAGGACGGGTCTTTTGGAGGTAGATGTAATCCCAACCATGCAAACAAGGTGGAGACTGCAGGTGAGCTGACAGAGCCCATGCCCTTTGCAGGCTGGGAGCCTGTTCTGGCCCTGGGCCAGGAGGCACTTTGGATGGTTCTTCTGGAAATAAGAAAGCCCCTTGGGTTTTTATAGGCTGCTTACCTGTCTGCAAGCTCCTGCTATGGGAGGGGAGACAGTTGCCTGCTTGGGGCTCCAGGTGCCAGGCTCATTCCAAAAGGCTGGTGAAGTAGGGTGGGGGCCACTAGCCCCACACTTCTCTCAGGGAGGGCCTTTCGCTGGCTGATGCCTGAGCCTAAGCTTGAAAAGACTAGAGATGGTATGTTCAGGAGTCTTCCAAGGGGCAGGACTCAGTCATCAGCCACAATAGAGAGGGCTCTGAGCTCGCTCAGTTTAGCTTCATTCTCCCGCTCCCGCTGCTCGTCGGGGTGGCCAGGCTGGTCAAGCTGTTGGGTCAGGTCTCCAAAGATCTTGTGCATTTCAGAGTAGTACACGACCTGAGTGGGAGGCAGGAGGTCAGCAGGGGCTGGGCTCTGGCCGCCAAGCCCCCCACAGCACTGTAACCTCTGGGTTGGTTTCCACTGTTCCCTCCACTGCTGCCCTTCCCCTCAAGTGCACAGTAACCAGGGAGGAGTGAGCCACTGCCTGATGTCCTTCAGGACTGTCCACTGCTTGGGGTGGCAATAAGTCAAAGGGCGAGGGAAGCAACAGACCCTTAGGCAGGAGGTGGAGGTGGGGCTGTGCCCTTCTCTCCAACCAGCACAGGGTGTGTGTGTGTGTGCTGGGTGGTGGAGGAAGACAGCATAGTCCAAGGCCGGGGCTGGGGGGAGTGGGAGGACCCTGGCAGGTCCAGGGGAGACCACGGACTGAGGCACTGTGACTAGGGGCTCACTGCTTCATAGAAGTTAGGAGAAGCCAAAGGCTTTTGTTCATGGGGAGAGGGCACGGTAGGCTCCCAAAGCCCTGAGAATTGGTCTTTAGGAGGTGAGAATGGTGACACCTTCTTAGCCTTCTGTTCCCAACTCATCTCATTGATAATCATGCCTAATGTGCACAGCCCAGAGGCCAGGCCAGGCCATTTCCACGTTTCCTTCTAAGTAGGCCCCAGAATGGGATGGGAGAGGCCTACAGGAATGAGAAGAATGGGGGCCCATCAGCAATTCTCAGATAAATGGCTAAGGGCAGCTTAGACCCAGGGCCTGAGCAGGCCCAGGACCAGCTTTTCCAGGGGAGGGGGACAGGAGCCATTTTTGCCTCAGTCTCCACCTCGTGACAAATGAAAGCGCTTATTTCCATGAAAGTGTACCACACTATTCAAACCCCTAAATTTTATCATTTCCAGCTCCAAGTTGTCTGGGGAAAAGGAACTCTACTACTAGAGAAATTTGGAGTGCTGCTATTGGCAACCAGTCCTAGTGGTAGGTTTGGTGGCAGGGCCACGGCTGAGCTGCTTCTAAGAAAATGTCTCACACAGCTAGATTTGAGTGGAGCTAAATCAAGGCCTTCACATCCTGCTGTCACATCAGGGGACAGGGGCCTAGGCTGGTGCTGGGGATCATGGGGGATGCCCCCTCCCCCCAGCAGCACTGCACAGCTGAGTCACTAGGAATGCTCACTTCTCCAGTGACTAATGGCAGCACAGCCTCGGGAGGGGGAGGCTGGTGCCAAGGATGCAGCAACACCCCCAGCCACCCCGCTGCTTAGTGACAGGGCATCCTGAGCTCCCAAACTGCTCCACCCTGGGCAAAGCCTCATACCCTGGAGCTTCCTCCCTAAGCAACAGGACAGAGGAGGCAGGGCAGTCTGCAGGGCCTGGGGGGCTGGGAACAGGGGCGATGATGGCGCAGGAGGAAAGGCGTGCAGGAGGGAAGACACAGGGCTCCTTAACACATCCCTCCAGGCCCAGGGTGAAGCTGCTGGAAGGAAGCTCTCACCTATAGGGGCAATGCTCTGTGGGCAAGTGTGGGAGCCTCCACTCCCTTGTGCCTGCTAGCTTTCTGCGTTTTCCCCTAGCGACCAAGGACATGGTTGCTAACAAGTCCCAGCTCCCACATCAATCCTGCTCAGGGTTCCTGATCTCAAGTGTCAGTCCCATGGGTTTGGTGTTCTCCAAGGATGGCAGGTGGCAAAGTAGAAACCAGGTTTTTCCTTGGGTGCCTGTGATCGAGAACTCTGCAAGGAATGACAGTGTCCACTGGAGGGCGCCAAATACCCAGGCCAAGAGCAGAAGTGGGCTGGAGGCACGTGGGGAGTGTTGAGCCTTTAGCTTTGTTAACCAGTGGGGACAGGTGGAAAGATGCTGAGCACCTGCAGTCAGCTGGGGGCTCCACGTGAAGGAGACCTCTTAGCTTTGGCACCTCAACCTTTTGGTCTTTTACAAACAGGAGGACTAAACCCTGCAAACGGCCTGAAGGATGGGCGGTGAAGGGGCAAGGAGGGCAGCAGCTACACCCATCGCACATTTGGAGTCCTAACACCCTTGAGTAGCAGGGTTGTGTGACCCTCTAACTGCCTGGCTCCAGTGCTACCGCTGCGCACCTCCACCTCCACCCAGCCTGCCCTTCCTGCTGGCAGGTGCACCATGGCCCAGGGCCCCTGAGCACGGCTCTCGCCAGGGTTCAGGACCCTCCGGGGTTGCTAGAAGTAAAGATGCTCTGTGGTCTCCTCCCAAAGGAACAGGAGTAACTAGGGTGGGGATGGAGGTGTTGGGTCCTCAGAAAAGGGACATCACCCCATGACTTCCTGAGCACACCAGGCCAAGAACCCATCCATCGAAGTGAGGTGCTGATGGTGCAGACTCACTTGTTCTTGTTGCTTGTGGTGAAATGTGAGAAAGAACTTGAGGGAAAACCTGTTAAACACGGAACCTCGTCCTAGGCTGGGATTAACCAAAGAGCAATGCAGGAGCCAAAACAGACTCCAGCAAAGCCGGAGGCCCCTGGCTTCCTTCCCTCAGGGCAGTGCCGTCCAGCGGCAGGGTGGTTGGCTGCTGTCTTAGCAGAGAATGGGTAAGACTCCGGTGTGGGGAGTGGGGGCTGGCATGAGATGTGTCCACAAAGCCCATGTCTCCCGAGGGAAGGTGTTGGGCCAGCGTTCAGGGCACATGGGAGCAGCCTCACCTGTGCTCTGATCAGGGACTCAAAGCTGGGCTGGAAGTAGTCGAGTCGGCTGTTGTAGAACCGTGGCATCTCGTCCAGGAGCTGCCTGTTCTTGGCCTCGAAGTCATCCCGCACAGGCCGAAGCTCTTCTCGGGCCTGGGAACAAGACCCTGGCTGTGAAGCTCTCACTGGCTCATCCAGCATTCCTGCTGGGGTATGGTGTGTGTGTCTGTGGGGGGGCTATCAAAACACCTGATGTCTTGGCCCTACAGCCCTGAGTTGGCCCCCAGGTAAAGGAGGAGCTTGCCATGTGTGCCACCTGGCCCGCTGTCTACCTTCCACCCCTCTCCTGGGTACCTGGTGGAGTTTGGCCAGCACTGGCCCCGTCTTCTCCTTCTCCTCGTATTTCTCCACCTTGGCCTGAAGCCTCTTGTAGTCCTGCAAGGCCTGCTCCCGCCGTTTCACTGCCATGTTGAGGCTCGGGAAGACACTTCCAAACCTGCTGAAACAAGTCGGGTTGAAGCTGAGAGCTGGCAGCTGATTGTTCACTCAGGAACACATACTGAGTACCTACTAAGTGCCAGTTCCTATTCTAGGTCTTGGTTCTGCTGTGAACGAGACAGATGAGGCCTTGGCCCCTGTGGAGCTCACACTACGGAGAACCCGTCTTAGGGTCAGGCCCAGGGAAAGAACACAGGGTTAAGGTTCATGCCACTGGTCTGAGCAAGACACATGGGTCATGAATCCACGATGCCACTTATGCGGCCACTGCCCCTCCCCAGGCACTCAGGGGCCCTGTCCCACGCTACAGAGACTTGTAATGGAGCAGGCAGCGCTGAAGACTCCTTATAAGTCATCTGGCCAACATCATCTTTTTAAAAAATGAAAGAAACTGAGGCCAGAGAGAAGACACGACATGCCAAGGCCACAGTTGGGTAGTGATGGTCCAGAAGAGAATTCACACGTCCCAGTCCTGTCTGGCACCTCCTTAACATCCCAGATGCCACCAGCAGGGGACAGAATTGCAATCAAAACCTACCCCTGGTGATCATTTCATAAGGTGGATACATGTCCCAGCAGTATGTTCACACCAGAAAATGGTACAATATCCTATATCCACGATCCTTTAATAATAAACCACCCACTTTTAATAAAGAAATTTCTAACAAGCTCCCCCAAAACAAACCAATCCCTCCCCCCCCGACTCTTGGCCTATCCGACTAGCTGAGCATAGGGAAAGCAGGAATCCTCTGGCTCTACCACTGAAATGGCCAAACTGTCCAGCCAGATGTCTGAGGTAATGACTCAGGGGCTCTTCTACCTCACAGTGACTCAGGGGCGTGGGCCACTCAGAAAGAGCAGCAGCAGACGCCTCCGCATTTTTGGCCCTGGTGGGCATATCTTTGTGACTAGTGTCACCTCTAACTGGGAAGGTCAATAATATCTTGAGACTGATGAAGGCAGGACTCATCCCAGGCAGGGATGCTGCATGTCCCTTGACTCAACTGAGTTTGGACGAGCCTGCCAGTAGGATTCCTGGAACAGGACAGGAGAAGACGAGGCAGGAGGTGCTACCACGCAGCCAGTGGAGATCTGGCCACACAACCGAGGACAATGACAGTGTGGCAGGTCTTCAGGTTTGAGAAGCCTGGAGTAGGCGACCCAGGACCAGGGGAAGAGTCAGTTCCTCCTGGAGCAACCCAGAGACGAAAGATGGGGATGGGGCAGCTTCTGACTCCTGCCTTGCACCGTGCCCAGGCCAGGAGGGCGTCTGAGCTCATGGGTCTTTTGGTAGTTCAGATGCCATATGAAGAGTGATCTCCAAGTCTGCCTCTCAAAGGGACATGACCATGAATTTGGTTTTTAAAAGCCTCAACAAATCAAGATATATGTGACATAAGAGTAACGGATATACACTTGCCAGAGAATATAAACTTGACCAAAGCATTAAATGCCCCAGACAAAGCTTTAGACCCAGGCAGTAGATTCTGATGAAACGAAGGGTTTATCTCTGAGAAAGGTGACTAAAACGAAGTCTTCTAACTTAACAGGTGTCTGTAATGGGCTCCACTTCTAACTGGAAATGAGGACGTGGATAAGACCATGCAAACGTCTCTGAAGCCTCAGTCACATGCCCCTTCACACATTAATCAAATTAATATTTTTAAGTGACTGACTTGCCAGAAAGAAAATGTACACCTATTTGGTGCCAAGCAAACTGGCTGGGGCAACCAGCCACCTCCAGGACCAAGGGTCCCTGGGAGGAGGTCTGAACAGGTGAGACCATTGGGAGGAGCTGGATTTACTGCCTTTGCCACAGGCGGCTGCTATGATGGGGGCCTCAGTTGCTAGGACAGCCTGTTCCTTCCTGGGAGGAGTGTGAGCAGCAGCTGAGGGGGAGCAGGTGCAGTTGGGCCTGAGAAGCCACCATGCCACCTCCCCGTCCACCCCAACTGGAAAAGGGGCCACCAGCAGTCACCCTGATTCTCTCATTAGAAGCGACCTGCTGCTTGGGTGGCCCCAGTGCCTGGGCCTCTGCTGTCCAGGGGTGAGTAAGGTGTGAATCCAGTGGTTTCAGGTTTCCACGCAATGCCAGGCAACCGCAGTGGCTGTGTCCTCAGGATGCTACCTTCAGCCTTCTGGAAGCAAGACCACTTGTCCTCTGTGAGGACGAAGTGGTTTTCTTTACCATGATAACTCTGCCTCCCAAAGTAGCACCCCTCAGTCACACCAGAACGCCACACGAGGCTCAGGTGACTTAGTTCACTGTATATGGATCGCTAATCACTCACCACCCAGGTGGCTTTGGGTGCTGGCTTTGGGACTCTTGAGGGGTAAGGGCGGGTGTCACGCTTCTCACAGTAAAGTGAGGAAACTAAGGTCAGACAGGAAAGATCAGACAGTATATTCTGAGTGGCTGACAAAAAGAGTCGTGGGACTCTGCAATCCTGGCTCTGGGTTACTGCTTACTGAGGCCCTACCTCCCCATTTTCTACTCAGAGGCAGCAGAATGGACTTGGCCACCCCCACGTGTTGGGCATATAAATAGCATGATGCTGTGTGAGGAGAGGAGCTCATCTGGTGGCAGGACCCCCTTCTCCATGTGGGGTGCTTTACTGCTTTCCTCCACCTTCAGATCAAGGGAGGGTTAGTAAGGAGGGGAAGTCAAATGCAGGATGGTCCCAGTGCCTGGTTCTCCCAGACATGCCCCTGGGGGCTCTACAGAGTACCTGATGGCTTTACCCAGCAAGGATGGGGGACCCAGCTCTTCCTGAAGTACCAAGTCGGCAGTTTTACTAGGCTGCCACAAAGAACCAAGGCTGGGCTGTCAGACGCTC